ATACAGATGGGAAGCTCTCAAGTAATGATAGAAAACCATTTCTAACACCTACCTCCTAGGGGAGATAGAGGATGGGAATGGTTACCAAGGAGACAGATAGATGGAGGAGAGGGTGCTGGACACAAACTTCCCCCCAGTAGTAGAAGAAGGCAGTCAAGGCCAGACTCTAGGTCTTGTGAAGGAAGGCCTAAGCTCTTGCCTCCAGCTCTCTGAGCAGACTCCGCATCTGGTCAGATCCGAGGAAGTGCAGGTGATGGGGTCTGCTTCCTGGGATATAACTACCTCTGACAGTGGGCAGTGGATGGATCTGGGGAATCCATCAGACCATCACCAGCACAAATGATTAGTCTCTGTGAAGAGAAGTAAACATATCAGAATAGAAGGAGTGGCAGGGGTGGTGGTGGTGGTGGTGGTGGTGGGTATGCTCTGCAAGAACATGGGAAGAATGGATCCTCCCCCTTCCTCTAAAAGATCAAGTAATGCTGGTCACAATGAGTAAACCTGTCACAGGATGCCAAATAAGCTAGCTGATTGGGAAGATCGTTGACACATTCATTCAGCAGTCATAAAGGGTTGTTTACACCTGTAGGAACTGAGCATTCTCAAATTGATTCAGCATATCTCTCTGTATGCTTGACATTTTAAGAAAAGATGTTGGAAGCAATGGATTAGGCAGGGTCACTGTCCTCAAGAACCTAGTAGTAGTCTGGACTATCAAGGATTCCTGGAGGAATTAACAGACAAGTTGAATCTGGGCCAGAGGTAGAAGACAGAAGAGCAAGGAAGGGAGGGAGAGACACAGAGAGACAGAGACAGACATAGAGAGCTGCAAGCATGAATGAGCTGGCAGATGAGCTGGTAGAGCAGGGCCCATTATGAACTGCATCTTGGATTCTTGGATCTTCAGGATAGAAGATGGATTGGCAGAGCCAAAGCAATTAAACAACGAAGTAAGACAATAGAGTAAAATAAGTGGGAGCCAAAGAGAACAACATCCACACCTGAATCTAGGGTCCAGATTCCTACAGGAGGACCACAGACTAGAAGGGGCCAGCTGCAAGAACTCCAGACAGGAGTGGGCACTGAGTAGCTGTGTGCTGTGAGACAGAGGACATGCTTCCAGGCCTCCTGCTTTCTCACAACCCTGCCACCTTTTCAGCTAGCAACATCACTGTGTCTGTCTTCCTATGACAAAAGAGCTCCTTCCTCCCAGCCAACCAACTGGAGTTTATGCGGAAGTGGTACCAATCTCTTCTTGTCTTCTCTGGTGAGAATAGTGATTATGGGACCAGTCCAAACCAGTTCACACCTTGGATCCTTACCGGAAAGCTGGAAATTTTATGACATCTTCCCTTGGATCTTGTCTTTCTTGAAGCCCCTTTCAATCGTTTCCTTAAATTCTTTGTGCTGCCCAAGGCTTTATTCAAGCATTTGTTTTCATGATCCTGATGAGCTACTGTTATTTTATATTGTTTGCAACCAGAAAAACCTCATCTGGCTATAGTGGCCTGGTAAAGAGACAGAACATGGGAGGGAGAGGCCTGAAGTGGGTTTTCTTGGGGGATGGGGAGGTTGGTTTGCTTTAAAGACTGGAAAAGAAAGGGGAAATTTTTAAAAAGTTGGCTAAAGACGCTTTTGTGGAACTCTGAAAAATCATACCACAGAGTGAAAAGTTATCTTTGGCATATGGGCATAGAAAATTCTACCCAATAGCCTGACCTCCTAATGACTTACCCAGACTTCTTCAGTGGGGCTGGCTAATTCTTCCACGAGGAGACTGACACATTGCGGAGAAACCTCAGAGTTAGGCAGAGGTGGGAACCGAGCCCTGGTTCTTGTTGGTCCACAAGCTCTCACTAAATTAGCTGGGTAACTTTGCAGAGATGCCCACCTCCCTGAGACTCAGTTTCCTCCTTAGAAAAAGACAAGAGCCACATTACACTTGAGATTCTGAGCTTATATTCCGAGAAAGTTTTAAGTGAAGACCAGAAGAGGTTAACTGGAAAAGCAGAGTCAGCAAACTTGCAGTTAATCTCCAAGAAGGGTTAAGCCACACTTTTATCTTTGCCAGAGAAACCCTTTCCCCTGAGAAGACACATGTGGACCCAGACATGGCTAGAAAACAGTGCGTTCAGAACTCCCAGACTAGGTGTTTAGGTATTTTAGATTCTTTCTTTCTTTCTTTCTTTCTTTCTTTCTTTCTTTCTTTCTTTCTTTCTTTCTTTCTTCCTTCCTTCCTTTCTTTCTCCTTCCTTCCTTCCTTCCTTCCTTCCTTCCTTCCTTCTTTCTTTCTTTCTTTCTTTCTTTCTTTCTTTCTTTCTTTCTTTCTTTTTTTTTCCAGACAGAGTTTCTCTGTGTAGCCTTTGCTGTCCTGGACTTGATTTGTAGACCAAAGCCTCATACTCATGGAGATCCGCCTGCGTCTGCCTTTTTTAGAGCTGGTATTAAAGGTGTGTGCCACCATGCCCAGCTGATTAGGTGATTTCTAAGGTTGTCTCTGCCCAAGTACTTCAGGTCTCGTGTGTCCTGATTTTCTGTGTACCCTGATTTTCTGTGTGCCCCTGTCTGTTTCCCTTGTCCCATCGTTAAAGATGACTGGCTGATGCCGAAGAACACCTGGTATCTGTGGTCTGTTTTAGGGGGTTTCTCCCAGGAAGTAGCACATCTGAATGCCTCTGAAGTCATCTAAAGGTCTAGTGGGCTCACAAACCCTTCAGCAGCTTAAATAGAAACACTCAGGCTTCCCGCTGTGCTCCGAGCACCCGCCCAGGCCCAGCAGCAGGGCTGCAAAACATGCTTTAGCATGCATGCATTTCAGAAAGCAAAGGCAACTCTACTTTTTGCTGCTCCAGACAGTCTGAGATGCTTTTGTGCCCTTGGGTCCTTGCCTGGTTCTCTCATCTGCCTCAGTGCTGGTACTAAATTGGTTCAAGGTTTGTAGGAAACCTTCAGAGGAAGGAGCGAAAGGCATGTTTGGAGTTCTTAAATGCTGAAGTCACCCTGGGAAGCAGAGTCTAGCTCCTTTCTGGCCACCAGAGGGCGATGGCAGCGGCAGCTGGGCAGAAAACAGTTCCCAAGAATAACAGCAGAAAACTGAACCTTATGTGTTTATGAATGGTGCTGGGGTTGGTGTGTGTGTGTGTGTGTGTGTGTGTGTGTGTGTGTGTGTGTGTGTGTGGTGTGGCAACTGGATGCCTGGAGCTAAGACTCTGAAAATCTGCTAGATATAATAAATAAAATTTGCACCTCTGCTATATATTTACAGTATGTAGTCAAGTAGCTGAACGTTTTCTTGAAAGAAAATAAAGAAGTAAGAATAGTATTCATATAAACGAAAAGAGAATTCTCAGGCACACAGTTGCCAGTGGTATGTTAGCATACATGTTCTCTGTGTATGTGACTGCATAGTGTGTGTGTGTGTGTGTGTGTGTAAGCAAGGCTCTTTCAGACCTTTCTAGTATGAGGAGACCTCAAGGAAGTCTGGGCAATACTTCCTCCTGTTCCTGCCCCTTCCCTTCAAACAAACAAACAAAATCATTCCTACAAGTATTTATGGAGCCTCTAACGTCGTCCTTCCCTACCGGCATCTGGAAAAGCTCAGACCAGCCAATTTAGAGCAGCACTGGCAGAATGAAGGCAAGGCTTGGGGGCTGAGGGGGTGGGAGGGAGAAGGAGTGGGTGCCTTGCTGGCTAAGGCACTGTTTTGCTAAATCACTTTTCTTTTCTTTGATGTGCCAAAGAGGTTGGACTGTGACACCTTGATTTAGAGAAACGAAGGCCCACAGGTGACATGATTACATGATTGCCCTGGAGGAGGAGTCCACCTAGACAGGAAGCAGATGCTCAAGACCCTGAAGTAACGGTGTCAACACAGCGGTCCAAGTTCTGCCTTTACTACTCTCAGTAACAGAACAGGTAATCCTGGGCAAAGCTGAACTGGAGTTTTCCTTCTAGGATTTGCCAACGGTAGCCTTCAGCACAGGAACAGACTGGTGTGAGACGGAGAGAGAGACAGACAGACAGAGACGGAGATTGTGTGATTATGGAGTGTGTTCTCACACATAAGTCCTCTAGGAAGTAGCTGTTGATCTTAGCTGTGAATACTGGAATTTCTAGACGGAGTGGGGACTAAGTTTCCACAGATAAACGTGCCAGGGTAGAGCATGTCTAGTAGCTGTATGACCTCGGCTAAGCACTTCATTTAGCTCAACTTTGGCTTTTTAACTTTAAAAACGAGGCTCGCTTTCTGATGTTGGGACTGAGTACCCAGTTCAGTGCCAGAATTAAAAAAAAAAAAAAAAAAAAAAAAAAAAAAAGCCACAGGTTTATCAGTCCCTGGCTCCCAAGAATGGATGAATTTCAATGTTTCCTTCCTGGGGCCTGGCTGGCGAAGTCCCTTTCCTTCCCAGTTGGGTTCTTCTAGCTCCCCTGCCGCCTCCTCCCTCCAGGATCTTGGTTGCTCCAGCAAAGTTCCCAACTTAGTCGACGTGACGCTCAGCGCAGCCAATGGGAGGCAGAGCTGGTGTTTTGGGAGGGGGACGGGAGGGCCGGGCCCCGCGTCTCCGGTGTCTGCCCTGCTCAGTGAATGGAGAGAGCGAGCGCAGGCCAGCTCTCCCGGCCACCCCGTGCCCCTGCCGCGGCCGTGCTCCGGAGCCCAGCCCCGAGCCGGACTTCACGGGGCACCGTGCTCCCGGGCGCTCAGTCCAGGACCCAGACCGAGCCCGCACCTCTGCCGGCGACCCGGAGAGACCCGAGGGCGCTTGGTACCTGGGCGCCGTGAGTGATGCGCAGCGGGGCAGCGCCAGCCCCACGGATGGAGCTGCTGCCGCCGCCGCCCGGCGCGCCCTGTTCCGCCCGCGCCCCGTGCGCCTGAGCGCCGCGCCCGCCCCTCCTCCGCGCCAACTCCGCCGCCCGCCCCCCAGGCCGCCCGCGCGCCTCCTCGGGCTTCTCGAGTCCCGTCGCGCCAGGCAGCCTCCTCTGGGCGCGGGCGCTTGCACACCATGGCCCCCGGGCGGACCTGGGCCGGCGCCGCCGTGCGCGCCCGCCTGGCGCTGGCCTTGGCGCTGGCGAGCGTCCTGAGCGGACCCCCCGCTGCCGCCTGCCCCACCAAGTGTACCTGCTCCGCCGCTAGCGTGGACTGCCACGGGCTGGGCCTGCGCGCCGTTCCCCGGGGCATTCCCCGCAACGCAGAGCGCCTGTGAGTACCCACCCCGCCCGCGCAGGCCACCCACCCCGTTCCTCCACTGTCGCCCTCAGGGCGCCAGGTCCTTCCCTCCTCTCCCGCGCGCTGGGGGACGACCTCTGTACTCCCCTCCGCCTTCAGATGCACTCGCTAAGTTGGGGGTGGCGTGGCTTTGGGCAGGTGTGGAGAGAAGTGTCCGAGATCCCCCTCGGTGGGGACCTGGTAGTGTGTTGTGGTTGAGGGCTCCAGGAGCTCATCCGCTGACAGCCCAGAAGAAAGCTGGCAGAAGGCAAGCAAGGAGAGAGGGAGGGAGAGAGCATAGTGGTCTCCAGGTTTGGGGTTGGGTGTGAGGGGATCCATGGTCCTTGCTTCTTAAAGAGGGGGCGACGAGGGAGCAAGCTAGACGAAGATGGAAGATGGGGAGTCTCTATTGCACAGACCTGAGAGAGCCCTCCTCCCCCCCTAAAAATAACTGTGACCCGCTTGGAGATCAGAACGGGCCAGCTTCTGTTTGACTGTCCTTGCAAGGAAAGTTGCGTGTGTACGTGAAGGTCTTAACTTCTGAAGAACCAGACGGATTTCGAGTGGGTGCTCTCAATACCCTCCCTGCCTGGAGCGCAGCGTTGGGGATGCCAAGTTGCAGCCCGGGTGAATTTTTTATGGCTGGGTTATAAATGCCTCCCCAAACGGGCCGGAGAATGGAAATGCTGACAGCCCTTTAAATGAGACCTAGCGCTATAATCTTACAAACCACACTCAGCCTCGGATCCTGGGGTTGGCAGCTAGCGGAGAGGCTCTTGGAGAGTGGGGTGGATTGACCCTCGTTTTAACCCCAATTGTGCAACCAAATATTTACTTTTCTTATGTCAGCGTTTTGGAAAGATTTATCATTTTGATCCTCAAGACCAAATTCAAAGTTTGGACTCCGGGGGTGGGCTCCCTTTAGTCCACAGTTGGGGGCGGGGCGAGGGAGCTTGGAGCCATGGTGGAGGGAGCTAGGAATGGGTGAGGGTTTGCCCTAGTCAGAATTCCGCCCATTGCACTGCCCAGTTGCTCTCTTCCCAGCCTGCCTTAGGGGTAGGCACAAGGGTCTTCCTCAGGCAGTCCTGCCTACTTCAGGTTAGGAGAGACTAGGAAAGCTGAGTTGCCCTAGCTGGCCGCCCGTTATCACCTCACCTCCTCTCTTCTCTTCCCTTTCCTCTTCGTGGCTGTCTAGGCAGAGGCTTCCTAGACATGCCTCTCATATCCCGGTGTTTTCTTTTGTTTGTTGTTTTCAAAGTGCTGGCTCTGAATCATCATTAACACCAGAAAACTGGGATCAGAAATGCAAACTGACCTGCCCAAGAAAACAGGGCAAATAGGCGACCAGAAGAGGGCTGGAACCCAGGCGGCCACACCTTCACTGAGGTTTTGTATTAGACCCGATTTGTGCAAATCTCATTTAAATGGTATTTTTAGGTATGTTTAAAGCAAGTTCCCCTACTTCTCACAGAATGCTACAGCTGAGTTAGTGAGATGGTAAAGCGTGCTTATGTTTAGTAGGTGTCTCCCTGGAGGCATTTTGTGTATACCTGGGACTTCCTTGAACCTCCCAGCAGTCCTATTCCTTACATAGGCAATACTCATTACTTTGCCTTGTTCCATCTTGTCATGTATTCATGGTCACGTAAGCAGTTGAGGCTTCTGAGCTCAAGACTTCAACTGCTCTGCAGACTCCTTGGAACCAGAGTCACTTTGGGCCAAGATCTCTGAACAAACTGTCCTGGGAGGGTCTGGCGGGGCGTGGGTCTTGGAATAGGACCCATTTGCCTCTGCTTTTGTTGAATGCCATCATTCATTTTGCTTTAGCATCAGCTTTCTCACTTGGGGTCATGAAACTATTTCCCATAGTCAGAGTCACGCTGTCAGTCCAGGAAGGTCAGGAGAGTAGACCCCTGTTCTGCCTACTCTAGTGGGAAGCTTTCAAAACCTGTAGTCAGTGTGCCAGCAGCCACTTCTCCTGGAGACCCTGGGAACTTAGTACTTTCTTCTGTTCTGGAGCTGGAGACAATAGATAAAGACCTGAATCCAGGCAATCCTGGGGGTTGGGGGGCCTTGCTACAGGCATGGTCACCACCAGGCATGGTGAAAGAAGGCTCTGCTCTGACATGTCTGTGGTTATCTGGCGCAGCTTTGGTCACTGGTAAGGCTTTGGCTTTAAGTGACAGAGCTGCCAAGGCTGAGCCCTCACCTCCTTTCTAGGACTGGAGCTAGCCAGTTAAGAGCAAGCAGGGTCAGGGCCACGTCAGGTTTAAACACAGCCCACCAACAGCCTGTCAGCACCCATCCCGTCTGTCAGACTCAGACGGAACGTTATAGTACTATTCACACACATCATGCTAAGGATTTCAAATTTGTCACCCCTCTCCCCTCCATTCAGTAAACATTGCTTGAAGTGTCTAAAGCATTCCTGTCCATAAAATCACTGCATACACAAGGGAAACCTAGCACTTCAGCTTTAAGGATGTGGGCAAGGGTCCAAAGTGGGAACCTTTTTTGATGAACTCTTTAAATCCTCCAGGGGTCCTTTAGTTATGGGACACTGATTTTTATCAGCCAGAGTCATTAGATGCTCATGACCTTCCAACAGTCTGGTTTCTGATCCCAGACTGTTGGTGAAATTGTGTTTTAAAACAAAGAAGCAGTGCTTTTCCCCATTCTCCATTTCTGTTTCAGTCTTCCAGAAAGCCTTTTGTGAAGGCTCTCTCTCTCTCTCTCTCTCTCTCTCTCTCTCTCTCTCTCTAGTGTGTGTGTGTGTGTGTGTGTGTTTCCCCTACATGACATTAAGGGCAGCCTGACTGGGAAGGATGTAGTCCCCATTTGGACTTGGCTTCAGACTAGGAATGGGGTCTGAATTGTTCATCATTAAGTCACTATCAGAGTTGGGGATTGTCTGTGTTCCAAGTTCTTCCCCATAATGTCAGCACATCACCCAGAAAAGGAAACCCTCTGTCTTTTATAAACTACTGACAATTTTTCCCCTCCTAGAGGAGGAGGTGACACCCACAAGTAAGCTAAATAAACGGAGGGGAGAATTCGGTGTCATTTATTATCCAAGCAGCAAAGACAGAGGCCCGGGGAGGAGAGGAAGTGAATGGCGGCGCTTGAGACAAAACATTTACCAGGGAGTGCAGGGTAAACAGATGTTGCGTTTGCCCTTCTGAGTACAAAAGGAACCCACAGATGTAATTCTTCTCCGACCACAGCCTCAGCCTGGATGAAAATGAGGCCTCATGTGGGGCCCCTTCTCCCAGTCCTGCCCTGAGGCAGGCGGAGGCCCACCTCTAACCCACAGCTAGGTGGTGGCGGTGGGAGCAAGAGTGGACATCTTTGCTTTTTCCACTTGGCTCCAGAACATGCTGGAAACTGCTGTATTTAAATAAACATTTCCTGTTTGCGAAGGAGAGCGGGCGAGAGTCTGAAACGTGAGAATGTGGTAACTTAATTTTCCCCATCACTCCAGATGACAGCAAGCTTTGCCGGTGGTTGGGTCCAATAAAAACCGACACCGTGTCATAGGCTTTCCCTCACTTGACCACAGAGGTCCAGAGGTCAAGTGGGAGACTTTCCAAGATGTTCAACAGCCAGGCCCAGCATTTTGGTGTCCCAGCCCTCAGGGCCAGCTCAGAGGACCAGGGACAATCTGGCAGGTTATGAGGCCTCTCTGGACCAACCCTGGTGATGAAACCTTTCAGAGAAGCACAAGGCTGACCTGGATCACCTACCCAGCAGGGAGGATGCCTTCCTCCAGTGTACTATACAACTTTGAACAGATCGTTGTACCTCTCTGGGTTTCCTCGTCTTAAAAGTAGGGTTCTAGTGTACTCCTTTTTGCTTTTCCTTACATAATCTGCAGTTCACTGGGGAGCTGTTGTAATACCCTTCCTCTGTGCCTAGGCCATCGTCATGTGAAAGGCTTATGAGCCTGAGAAACACAAAGGCAAGATTGGCTGTTACAGATTTGCATTTTGATGGGCGGCTGAGGGCTACCTCCTAGTAACCCATTACATGAGATACTGCTACCTAAAATTTGAATTTCATGAACTAGAAGTGTTGCCTTCCTAGAGCTCCCCCAAGACTCTTACTGCACGATCCACTCTGTAGTCTGGTTGCCAGGCATTGCTTAGCAACATTGCAACATTCCTACTGTGCACACGCCAGTAGGATGAGCCAGAGAGCCTGACTACTTCTGCCACAGGACTTTCTAATCAGGAACTCATCAGTGGCATCCTGAGCTCTCTGTGGTTTTTGATTGCTGCTCTTCTGGCATTAATTGATGTGTATTTGTAGGGTCATTATTAAGTTTTGTTTTTTGCCAGTCATCTGGGTTTTCCCTTATGCTCTCCAACCCCATTACCGTTGTTGTTCTGTTTTTCTGTAGTTCTATTGTCTGAATTCGCAACCCCCACCCCCTCCACACCACATCCGGAAAAGTGAAAATGAAGGGTGGGCGAGGACCAAAGAATTTTTTGCCTAAATTGATGAGCAAGAAGGCTTTAGAGCACTCCACAGTGCTTTGGGCTCTGGCGGCTTTGGACCTGAACCTTGGGTTTGGAGTCCTGTTCTGTGGCATGCATGGTCGCCCCTGCGCTTCTGCTGATGCTTTGCCGCTCTGGACTGCTGCGTGTTTAATCCCTTTTGTACTTCACTTCCACACCTGTCACGCAGGGATGCGGGGATGATAGTCACGTCACACGGGGATGTTGTGAACGCAGCCCGAGGCAATCACATAATGTGCTCTGCACGGCGCCTGCCATATTGTTCACTCATTATCATGGCTGTGATTGTTTATCCAACTGCAATTTATCCAGCTGTAAAGTATGTATAATACCCGTTCCCTTTTGGAAGGATTAAAGAGATCATGTCCAGGAAGTACTTAACACTACCTGGCACATAGGAGCCCTCCACAAACTTGTAATGTTATGGCTGCATTTCTGTTTGCTCATCTCGGTCTCTGTCCAGCTGGATGGCTTAAG